CCCCAAAACCCCAAAACCCCAAAACCCCAAAACCCCAAATCCTGAAAATATAGGTGAAAATATATAATAAAAATGTTATCCAGAATTTTTAGGCATACTCAAAAGTTTGGACTAAAGGGAGCTGTGTGATTTAGAACTAGCACGTCTTCTTTAGTATATACGAGAGCGGCTCATTTTGGCATCCTTGAAGATAAATTTAAAGAAATAAGAGAAAAAGCATTCAACAGATCTGTGAAAAGTGATAGAAGTGAAAATATTAGAGAGGAATCAAAGAGCCAGATGTCCAAATTTAGCCTCTTTTCCTCTTCAAATTTAGGTGAGTAATTCACAAATAATGTTGCTAATCCTTCTTTAGGTAATAATTTAGAACAAGAAGCTTATAATATCAATGGGATGACCTGAAGCCAAGTAATTGATAGATTGAAGATAGCTCAACAGCAGAAGACAGATCCTTACTTGTATTATATGATATTAGAAAGGATTCAAGACATTATCATCAATGAGCCTGATGAGACTAGCAAGGCAGGCATTCTTAAAATTCTCAAAGAACTAGAGAGCTATAAGCCAAAGGATGAGGAAAGATATCAGCGGAAATTAAGAAATATGGAATTTGGAGAGAGCAGTACTGGATCCCCTCATAAAGCAGGAATAAATAAATCAAAAGGCCAATATTTTAAAGATAGTTCTCCTATAGCTCAGATGTTTGATCATCTCAAAGACAATATGAATGGAACTTATTTCAAAGGAATGCTTAGGGATTACGCTAAAGGAGATGATAACAGTTCAAAGAAGGATATCTATGATGTTCTAGAGATATACAAAACTGTGTATAAGAATATCGAGTTGGTCCTTCATGAAGAACTCGATAGAGGCAGTATTGATTCCAAAGAGATTCTCATTGTGCTAAAATGATTTTCAATTGCTGAAGAGGGATCTGAAGTATTGTATGAAAGAATTTTTGAGATGATCTATCCTAATTTGAGTGAGAGAAAGTATAACAAGCATGATCTGGAAATAATATTGAATTACTTCCCCCAAGATTTCTGGTCAAATTCGATGACTCATTCCTCAAAGATGAATAGCTTCAATGGTCTTATTGCAGAGAGTTTGAATGGGGAAATTGATAATTCTTCAAACAAGGAGTTACTCTCCTTTTTCCGTGCTTTTTCAAGTTCTACTAACTTCCCACCTAAAATATTGAACAAGCTCTTAAACAAGTTTGTATCCTTAATCGAGAATTCTCAGGTCAATCAGAAAGAACTAATGGGTTTTCTAGAAATTTATGCGATGATGATTCAGGACAATCCTCAAAAATCAGTAGAATTAAACTCAAAGCTATTGTTCTCGATTGTTTCCAAAAATATCGAAGAGAATTACTTATCCAACACCTATGATTTTTCATTCCAAGAGCTAGCAGTCTTGTACTGGGTATATGCTACTTGAGAGATCTTCCCAGGAAGTTCTACAGATGCTGTTAGAACTTTAGAGAAAGTTCTCAACAATAATATGGCACTTTTAATTACTAAATATAAGCCACTTAGTGATTCTGATAAAGATTCTGGTTCGGGTCAGGAATTAGAATTTGATGAAAATGATGCGAATGCTATTATTTATTACTACGAGAAATGCCAAGAACTAGGCACTTGGGAGAATGCGGAGACTATCATCCAAGCCATAGGGTCCATCAAGAAAAAGTATGACGATCGCCCAGACAATGACGGCAAATGGTTTGTTTTCTAGAATTTCAATTTCTAAAGAGTATTTAGGGGTTTTGGGGTTTTGGGGTTTTGGGG